AAGTCCATGTTTTTACCCCTTTGTTCTCATACAAACAAATACAAGTATAGTATAAATATGTTATTTATTCATATTTTATTGAATATAATTTTACAAAAAAATATCCTTAACATGAAGTGTTTGTGTATTTTTTATAATTTTCAAAATCCATAAGGCCAGCTAAATTGAACACCTAGCGGGCCAGTTTTGGTCCCCGTGCCATATGTTTGACACCCCGTCCTATGAGGTCAATTTAAGGTAAAAAAAAAATCTTCTCACCTCACTGGTGTTGCAGATGTCACCGAGTGTGGATCCACAAGCCTTGCCTGGTGTGGCATTCCAGGGAATGATTCCTGTAGGCATGGAATTCAGAGAGATACAGTACATTGGAATTCCTGAGCCGTTAATATTTCAAACCTGAAGACTATGAATGGAACAAGTCTGCGAGGTCAACAGCATCATCTGCACATATCTGGGTGTTTGAAATGAATCAAATAAATATTTTTCTCTTATATTAGCTAAATATTTTAACTGAAATCTTTGTCAATGGATCCACAGTCTACTAATATTGACGGAAAATGAAGAGTATATTTGTTTTTGTACGACCAAACATAAACCAAGGCTAAAGATTAGTGAATGCACGTCTCACATCCAATCAGGTTCAGCTGTTGTAGCAGTATTCGTCCTGACATTTACCCAGTTACAGCTGCAACTCCATGCTCTGCACAGAGACTGCAACTTTAAAGTCATCCCAAATGACAAGGTCGACTGAGAAAAAAGGTCATAACTTGGTTTCATTATTCTTATTCAGTGACCTGACATTTCAGATGTCAGCAAAAGCTTACATTCACAGTGAGATTGGATACGGCAGGAAAAAAGTCTTTGTTCAGTCAGGAATGATCATGTGAAAAATAAATTACATCAAGGCAGAGTGTCTCAATCTACGGCACACAGACCAAATATGGGTCTATATGGGAAATATGATTTTCATTTTTTATGTTGTGCAGATGTTTTATATACTAATTGCAAACGAAGATTTTACGTGGCTCTGGTTTTTACTGGATTTTTGTTTTTATTGTTAATTTAGTTCTCAGAGCTGGTGATGTCAGACTGGACGACAACAATGGGCTGTTTTATGGGTGGGACCTTATAGAACAGCAGCAGATTTAAATGGTTCCATACAGCTATACAGACACATTTTATAGAGTTACTTAATTAACTTGTGTAAAAAAGTACAATGTACACATAATACTGCACGCCCACACAGTGGCACGGCACAAAACGTCGTAAACTTTCAACAACATTCATACCAGTATGACCGCCAACAAATGTCTCAACCGCTACACTTTTATTAGCCGTCTATCTCTCCATCAGCAATTCTTCTACACCACTTATTGTGGTCTACATGAAAGCATGGCTCACTGGCCAATCACAACAAAGCCCACAGACTGGGCCAAGCCTCGACATGAGACGCGAGAGTAATTATTGTTTCTCCGATGCCAAACTATACATTCCCCAGAGCATAAAGCTAATGCTAATGCTAATGCTCACCATACTGACGAACGTCCACGCAGATGGAGTCGATGTTGGTGAGGTTGGCCACGGGAGACTTCATGGCGTTGCAGGTCGACCACATGTTGTAAAAGAGGAAGACCGGTACGGCCGAGAAACCAAACACACCGAGCCAGGCCACGCCCAGAATGTATGTGAGGAACACAAACTGAGGAAACAAGTTTTTGGTACAGAATTAGATTTAAGTCATTGAACAATAAACCAAAACTGGGATTGATGTCTACATCTACTTCATTTGAATACAAATCAGACAGGCCTGAGTTGCAGTCAGGAGGCTGCTGTGTGGACGTACCATTCCACTGATGCAGCGTCCACAGATGGTGGTCTTGAACTCGCTGTGCAGTTCCTTCACTGCACTGGTGGTGTAGAAGCCCTCGGCCAGCAGAATGATCCCATACAGGAAGAAAAATGAAGCGATCCCGTAGATGACATACTGCATCAGCTGTATTCTGTTCAGACACAAGGCCAGAGGTGGATGTACTGTAAGTGGTACCACCGAGGCTGCGGTAGGTTCCGACAGTGAGACCACATCATGGTTTGATACATTAAAAAAAAAAAACCCAGCTATGCCTGGAGAAATGTCCACAATAAATGTCTGGTAGATAAACTGCGTTTCACTCCGTTATCTGCTGCAGACATTGGTGTTATTGTTAAATATCTCTAACCTGCTTTGGCTGATTAACAATCAACAGATGGTTATGATCAAGAGAGTCTGAGTGGAGAAGCTAAGAAGACCAAATGTGGAGACGAGAGGTGATGTACTTATGGGAACGGTCCACTCTGAGACCAACTGTGCCTGTAACATTAAACAGTGCACTCTGAGTCTACACTAACATCAAACACGTGCACATTCCTGTCTCTTGTCAATTCTGTTTTTTATTGTCAGGATTAATGGATGCACTGCAACAAAAAAAATCTCCATATTAGGACTGATCCTAAGGATAACGTGATCGTAGCAGACACTCAACGCTAAAAATAGCCCACATAAAGTCACCTTTAATAAACTCCAATAAACCCCCGAGATTCAACCTATTTTTTTAAAGGCTACATTTTCCATTACTTTGACATAAAAGACACAACATTTTGAACTTCAGACACCAGATCATTTCATGATGCAGTGCAGTGCTGTTCCAGGTTACTTACACATCAGTCAGCATGGCGTGATCGCTGGTGACTTTGGAGAAGTGAGTTTCCAGGATGGTCACAGTTCCGGTGAGAGCCACGTGGCCACATCCGCAGAACAGGGCAACACCAGAAAAGCAGAGGATTGTAGCCACGAGCGATGCATATGGCACCCCCCCTAAGCATTTGATGCAGCACTCAAAGCAACCTGTGGAAAACGGAAAGAAGAACAGTGGTTCAACTTGATGAAAAAAAACAAAAAACAAAACTTCAAAATAACTTTAAGAGCTAAAACATAAGTGAAAGTGTTTTGTTGATGCAACAGGCAATGACAACATATATATTACTGTTTCCATCGTGCCATTCTCCATCCATACAACATCAGGTTTTAGTTTTATCCCAGACCAAAAAGACAATTATAAAAAAAGTCTACAGGAAGCAGTGCAGACAGATGAAAGTGGCTAAAAAAAAGAAAAATCACACTTTTACCACAGCAGATGATCTTCATGTGGATGTGGTTTTTTTTTTTTATCAGATGCACTTTTTTTTTTCTCAATACACCATACAGTACAGTAACACTGTAGTGCAAAACACCACAGTGTGAGCACCCCCGGCTGCCCCTCTGAACGCCATTAGATTCACAGCTTTTGCTTAAAATCCAATGAAGTTGATTCAGAACGCCCAAATTCTCAAACCACGCCTCTTCTCAGTGCAGTTTCCCCACTGTTTTAACAAATAAAGAAAACACGGAACTAAAACCTATGTTGCGATAGCTTTGCAACCTCAGGGGGCCCTCGCCCCCCACTTTGGGAAACCACCACTCTAAAGGTACAGTATGTGTGGAACCACAGAGCTGTAATGATCTACTTGTCCATTGATCACTGCTGGTCACAGCCACTAATGTGCCATCAGACAAACTGTAATGGAAATCAATGGCAACCCCTCAGTGACGTGACCCAGATGGCTCTGTCTGCGTCCTGTCACGCAGAGCAGGTGGTTCGCCGTGCACCGTCTGTGGCTGCACGTCTGAAAACAAACCTCAGTGTGTTTTCAATCAGACCCACATATGTTGAACAGGATGTTGTCAAGTCACGAGGGAAAGATGGAAAGTCCTTGGACCTGCTTTAAATCACAGAGACGGACGATCGCGTCTTTCCTCTCGGTCACTCTGTGAAAGTATTTTAGACTTTGGGCTCAGTGCATACAGGAGTTTATTTAAGTAGGTTTTTTCTCAGCCACTGTTGTCAGCATTGTTTTCAGAAGCAACAGGTAGAACTGACAAATGTTTGAAATGACAAGAATAAAGTCTGGAAACACCTTTCAGAGTCAATCAAAAATGACAAAACATTGGAAAAAAGAACATTTGCATAATATGTTATTAAGTCTGGACCTTTGACCTGTGCACAATAAAACTGATTTAAGACTTTTTAACCAAAATTAAATCCATTTTACTAGATTATAGGACATATATTTCAATAAATTTCAATAAAACTGCTCTCATATCGGCATATATAATGCTCTGTGTACAGGTGAGGATGCCTCCAGTGTAGCAGTAGAAGGACTGGACAGTGTGAGCAGCTGCGGACGACGGGAGCACGTTTCAGTTCAGCAGAAGTCTAATGTTTGCCTTGATAAAAACAGGCCAAACATTCTTCTCTACTTGCTTGTTTCCTGAGTGAGGCGAAAATCCTGAGAGTTCATCTGTGTTTGAGCTCTGTGTCATGACAAAGGAAATTAAACGGGATAAAACCGCTGCAGGGCTGGTGCTATAGCAATCAGATGCTTCACTCTGCTGACTGTGTGTCCAGTACAGGGAGACAAAAACATCTTTTTGTCCTACGGTTAGTGAACAAGGGTTGCCATGGCAGCGTTTGACCACAACTCAATGAGTCCGCCGCAGCAGAGTCGCTAACTTGTACAGCAGCCCACATTTCTCTGATGAGTATGTGTAGGGAGGGTGGGTGGACCGTCAGGAGGCTCAGCACAAGCTCCAGCAGGATATTGAGCCCAGCTGCAAAGTAAATAGAGGCCATTTAAACCAAGTGGAGCTCTTGTGGTGGATGTTACTGTCAGGTTACATCTATCTAGACCAAAACCCATACAGGAAAGTCAAAACTACAGACCCCTTTTCTTTTTTTCTTATTTCTGAAGACTAAAGAAAAGAAATTCCTTCTTTGCAGAATTCTGGAGGAGGAGAATGGAAATCGTAAACCGACCCCCACCTCGCTCCGGCACAGAATTGTGATGTCTGTCTCACTACTGTCCATTCAGACTGAGGTCACTTTGAATAACACTGGTCATGTGTCTGGTTATGAAAGTGGCCTGGGTTAGACTCAGGGACACCACATGTCTGCAGTGTGTCACAACACCAAGATGAGCAGTCCTGGAAAAGTCCAGCAGCCATACCCACAGCTTGGTATAGTTACGAAAAAAAAAAATTATTTGGAGTCATACTATTTTAACTGAAACTAATTTACCATCATCTTTAGACGAAAGCAAAGGTGTTGAATTGTCAGCTCTAATGTTGTCACCAACCAGGTGCTAAGCTAAAAACACAACAAACTGTAGGTTGTATTTTCACAGCTAGGCTCAACATGTTGGCAGGTCGGCACTGGACTGTCTCAACACTGGCACGTGGACTGACCCGCCACTCCACCCTGTGAGCTGCAGACCTAATAACATTTGCTCCTGCATACTGTGTACGCCAGGCACAGTATTCGGCAGTAAAACTTTAAAGTACAGTAATCAAGGGATGAGTGAAATATTTTATGTGTCGCTCAGTTATGTAATTAGGGAATGTTTGTACAGAATGAGTGGACTGTGTGGGACTGGGACAGGCAGCAGCATAATGCACTGTAAACACTGCTTTAAATCATCGTGCTCAAAGGGCAATAACAAGAGCTGCTGACTCCAAACAAGAGTCGGCACGGTTTCTGTGAAGGGCCTTTAATGATCGTCACATGCTGTCAAACGAATACACAAGATAATATCTGCAGTCCATCAACAGGAGTGGACACTGAGGCGAGCCAGACTGGAAAAGACTAACCAAGAGAAACAGGTGCAAATTAATGACTGTTTGTGATGACAATGTTTGTCTCTTTTCCATTTTTTTTTTCCCGTGGCGCCCATGTAATTTCCCCACCGTGGCATAAATAAAAAAACTTTTTACAATTCTGCATCCCACACTTTGGGAACCACTGCCTTAAAGGCTCATCAGAATAATGATGGGAGTACTGATTCGGTGGTATCAATATGTATATCAAGTATCAAGTACTGTTTATTCTCATCAAGTATCAATACTTCGATGTCTGATATTAACTTTTTGCCGATATCCGATATTGCAGATATTGTCCAAACACTTAATTTCCGATTCCGATATCAATGTTTATATACAGTAGGTCTGGTAATATTTACTTAACTGTACAAAACACTGCATGAGTATGCGATTAATTAAATGAGCTGCAATGCTGCCATCTATATTATCGGTCAGTCAATATTATCAGACATCGCTAATCAATATTAATTACAAAAACTCGCTGTGCAGTTCCCCAAATCCCCAAAACATCATTTGGTGAAACCCAACCTGGCATTGTGTTATCGGGTTTTTATTAACGGGGGAAAAAACTAGATTCTTACAGTTATTCCATAATATGCTAATATTAGGCTGATGATATCGGTCAGTCAATATTATCGGACATCGCTAATCAATATTAATTACAAATGAAAAAAAGCACATTTGTCGCTAATGGTATTGATAAAGAAAAATCAAAAATGGTATCATACCAAATCTAAAACCATCACCGAAGAAGAGTGGAAGAAAACAACTGCCTGTACTGTATAAGAAAAAAAGAAAAATCTTGCATTTGTGTCACTGAGTGAGAAACTTTCAGAGAAAGCATTCAGACCCAGTGAATGAAAGAATCCACAAACCCACTGATACAAAGGGTCAGTGTCTGCAGACCTACAGTAGACTGTCCATCACACTGGACTCTCAGGGGCCTTTCAGAATGGAAGTCAACCACAAATCCGCTCTTACGGCAAACAGGCTGGAAGCCCGGGACAAGTCCACTGCTGCGTTCCATCCTGCACCCCCGCCCCCAGCACTGCACACAGTTTGGCCATAAAGGAGCATCATAGCAGCCACTTCACAGTCACTGCAGGAGGATCCTGTTAGCCACATTAGTGTGTGATTAAGGCAGTGGAGCAGCACAGACCGTCTGCACACTAACACTAATCTGACAAGTCGTCGAGCCGCCACCTCAGGGCCGTGGACTTCAAAAAAGGTCCATAAATCCACAGGTTAACTCTGTTTAAGTCAGGTTTACTACATCATCAGTTACTTTGTGGCTCGTTTCATCACTTCATTTAATGACCGACGGAGAACACTGTCAAAGGAGGTGAAGACAGACAGGAAGTTGGAAATACCCCAATGTTTCCCATCTGGACCTGAACCAGGAAGGTTAGGGTTCATGGTTGGGTCGCTGCCCCACAGATCACCTCAGAGACACTACTACACAGGTCCCTGTGGTATAAAGTCGCAGTACTGCAAATATTTCTTGTTATATCGAAGAACAAACCGCAGTACTGCACATATTTCTTGTTATATCGAAGAACAAACAGTACGCTGTTAAGCTCAACAACAAGATAATTCTTCAGAGACGTTGTAAACATGGTCCTGCAGCTGTTCCTGTTTCCTCACCATGATCACCGATCATCAGTCAACAGGTTTTAAACGCAACACTGACACGACAGAGCTGAAATCTTCCAACAGCTGGGACGATCAGTAAAACACAACTATATTTTGTCTCTTGGTGTGAAAAAGGTAATCAGCGTGGAAAAAATGTAAACCAATTATTCAAGCTGTAATACTTTCAAATCTGTAGACTGGTTATGGACTTGAACCTTTATGAGCTCAAACTGTTACAGTTAGGAACAGGGTTCAGAGTTGTCAGATCGTCTGATTCTCCACCTTATATAACAGTGAACTGAGACAGTTGCAGTATGGACTTTTACATACAGTAACCAGGTCATTTTTTCAGTGTTAAACTTATCATACTTAGCATCTTCCTTATCCGACACCATCTAAATGTTAAACATATTTCACACATTCAGCAGCTGTTTCTGCCTTTGCCTTCATGCAGTGAACATCTTATAGTCACACTTTGATTAGTTCTACACAACAGCACATTTACATTATTTGCTTTCTTG